TGGGTGCACTGTTGCCATAATGAAGAAGGTTTAGACACTTATTTGGTGGCTGTGGCGGCCATCTTGAGTTAATCAGCTACAGATGTTAATCCAGTAATTACTTTCAGAGGCTTTGATCTAAATCCATTTAGTCATATTCATGAGAATTTTTGCTAACAGACAGATAGGTTTGACTTCAACAGTAATGAGAGTTTTAAACAATAATGTGACAACACTCGGACGATTGGGGATGACTCTCAGCTTCTGTCACACCTGGCTTTTTTCCAGTATCCATGAAAAAATAGGCTGACTTATAGCAGGTTTTGTGTTTGCAAAGGTTGATTAGTGATGGTGGCCATCTTGACCCTGGCTGACCCCAAAAGTTATTCAGCTGCAGATGTTCACCCAGTGGTTTCTTGTTGAGAGTTTCACTGCAATCTGCCCTGTGCTTTATTAAATATTTCGCTAACACACAGACAAACAAACAAATGAAATTATAATACAGCCTGCATTTTAGGATAGTAAATTTAAAGCTGTAAGTTTTTTTTTTCATCTACTGTCAAGTAAAATGGATTATTTATGTTTTAAATACTAAAGATCTCCCTCAAAGTCTATATTTACCACTTTTGAGTTATGGAGCTGTTATTAGCTGGTTTCAGACCWGTAAGACTTTCAGCTCCACCTGAACCAGAACAATCTGCTGTGAAACACCGGGCCAAGAGTTCATGACGCAGCTTTTTTTCACTCCAGGGTCACTTTATGCATCCAACACCTCCCTTTGTCTCCTTATAGAYCAGGCAACATGATGAAACAAATTTTTTTATTTGTCAGGGCTTAACCTCATCAGATCTGGATYTAAACCAACCACATCCCTTCATCACACTCTTAGGAACTCTTAAACACAGGAAGTGAAAAAGAAAAGGACTTTACCAAACAGCAAAGTGACAATGAGGCTGAAAGCTGCRTGTGGGGCGCCCGGCCTCAGAGGCTCCACGCCGGACCAAAGACCCTCCATGGCAGCTCGCCTTGCCCCAGAACAAATGATGCTGCAGGATCMAGATCAGGTTGACGCAGCTGGCAAAATCCTCCTCAGCACAGCTCGGCCTCTCTGATGTGTTGGAGGGTCTGGAACTTAAAAAAAAAATAAAATGAAATAAACTCCTCTAAAGCTCCAAACAGCACGCATGTGAAAATATTTTTAAAGAGGACAAAAACATCATGTCAGAATGCAGTAAAAAGAACAGGAAGTCCAAGTTTCTGTACATCAGGAGAAAGATGAAACCACTGAAGTTATGTTTCAGCTACAGTTTAGTCATGCCTACCTGCTCCTGTGCTCAGTGAGGGCCCCCCGGCTGCTCGTACAGCTGAGTCAGGCAGGACGGGACGGAAGCAGAGCGGCAAAAACTCTCCCTGCGCAGAGTCAGGGTTCACACAAGGAGAATCTGCCAGCCAGCACTTTCTCTGCAGACACAGCCCCGGTGCAGCACAGGCCAGGAGGAGAGGCGGTGAGCAGGTGGTGGAGGGGACGAGCTGAGAGACAGACAACCAGGAGGCCGGCGTTCCCGTCCCATCTGCAGCAGAGCCCCGGTGAGCCGGATCTGTCCTTCCAGCCGTCCCACAACTTTTCCTCTGTCCTCTCTGTTGGCCGCTCGCCACTTCTCCTCATCGCTCGGCTCCCTCTCCATCACCTGCCTCCACCCCCACCCAGCATCCCTCTATTCTTTCTCTCCTCCAGCACCCCTTTGCACTCCCTCCCTCCCTGCTTCTCCTTTCCTTTTGCCTCATCATCCTCCTCCTCCCTGTCTTCTCAGCTGTGTGTGTGTGTGTGTGTGTGTGTGTGTGTGTGTGTGTGTGTGTGTGTGTGTGTGTG